TAAAAAAATGATTTATGGTGATCAATATTAAATTTGAATGCTTCTAATTCAGTTCATAAAATAAGAGGGTGGTAATAATATTCAATAAAAATACTTTTCTTGGAATGTCAATCGTTTCAGAAAACCTTACTTAAAAAGGCACTCGGAGAATAAACTCGTCATTTCGGGATGCCGTTATTGCTTTAATACGACAGTCTATAAAAATGAACCGACACTAGAAACAATGAATATATCTGGGGGGCCCATTAGATATAATTTTTTACTAGACTTGTCTATATGGACCTCTACAGGCAGCAGACCGCAATCAACTAATGTGTCAATACATATGTCCTAAGCGAATAAGAAACAAAACTCCCTACTGCTGTACTTTTCTAAGTGTTATTACTAAAATCATTTAGTCAAACTGCATTTATGCGAACCATTAGATGAAGTCACTATCCTTTTGTATTGTTATCGAATATAAATATATCGAATATACAGAGAAACAAAATTAAAGCGAGCTTTAATTAAGACACAAAAGTAAATTTCTATTCAAAGTGATAGATAAAGAGAGAAGCAGAAGTTTGTTGCAGTCGTTTTCAGGTATAATATAGTTTATTCGAAACTCTCACCGACGAATAGAGGGTTATAAACAATTTATAAAGTTATTTGTTAAAATCTTGTTTACATGCTCTACCAAGGGTTTAAGAACGTAAACTTTACAATCCATCCGTATAGGCAATATCCTTTTCTACCTTTGCCTTCCTGTTTTACCAACTTTTCTTTTCATATTGATCTCCCTATTTTCCCATCTAATTTCTAAAGTGTTCTGTTGACGACAATGAGGCGTTCCTATTTTGTTCAGTCTATCTATGGGGACACAGGCGCGAGTACGTGTATAGTTTCGAATTTTCAGAAATTGTTCTGAAACTTTCATGAAGTGTTGAATAATATTATTAATAATATTAACCGTAATCACTCCGGTCATATATATTTAAAGATGACTCAGGTATGATGAAGTTAGCGTACTCTTTGTAAAAATTTAAAATTCTGTCGCATTTATGTTGCATCTAGTGTTCACTTGTTTTAAGTGCTGAACAAACGAGAATTTCAATGCCAAATTTCAAGTTGTACCTGATATTAGTAATTTTTTTTACATATAAATAGATTCTTACTAAAATCTTTTATAAATGTAAGTGTAGCCGGGGATGTTTAACACAGAAAATAAACAAAGTAAGCTGTGTTTTAAAGCGGTTAGCTCTAGCTTTAAAGTATTATATTTGCACCAACCACGCTTTTGTCGTGCAGACGTCTTTGTGTGATATGATTGCAGTTTTTCACAGGCTACGTAAAAGAACATCCAATGCACCGTGAAATTGCCTATTTTCCACGTGATTTTATTTGTTTATTTCATACATCGATGACATTTCCATTCGTTTTCACACAGTTCACTGCGTCATAAAACCGTTATCAAAGTCGAACAGCATTCAAATTACCTGTGCTTGTAGGCTTGTAAGACTTTAGATACAAACGAACTTCTAAATTTTAATTCCTGAACATTCACGAATCTATGCTAAGCATTTAAAATGTATGGATAGTACCATGCGTCTACAAGTAGTGCATCCTGTTTAAATTTGTTAAGCCTTCAGTGTATTGAACGTTACCACGTAGACAGTAGAGTCCCGTTTAGAATGAAGACACATATATATCACTTGCTTCACTCGAAACGGAAACTGTTTCATTTCCGATGCATGGTTGAAGCTCTTTGTGGAGTTCGTCGGCTGCGAATTGCTCACGTTTTCAACATTTGATTGCGACATCAATACCTTCAAAATATTGTTGATTGTAAATTGTTAAGTAATAACAACTAGATATTCAAACTATCTTAGCAACTAGAATGCTTTCTCCGTCAAAGACACCTCCATATGTTGTACAATGCTTGAATAAATCAATAAGTATTTCTCTCAATAAGCTTTAGACTCGTCGACTTTTAGACTACGTCAAGCCTTAAAACTAAGCAGACGCTGACTGGCATCTCCCGCGCGAGCACTTTCTTGCTTCACGTAGCAATTGCATCTGCAAAATGCAACAATGCATAAAAATTCAATCTTACATTTTTGTTTCGATACGTTCACCCGTATTCAGACGACAATATCATTTATTTTCTATACTCAACTAAGGAAGTATAAATATGCTAACTTTCAATTATGCCATGACTGAGTAAGATGTCATGTTGCCTCAAGTGTTGTTTCCAACAGTAAAGTTGCTTTAAGCTGCAGATGCTGCTGAGGTGTACTTAGTGCCCACGCTTGCGTCCAAGCTCACTTAATATAATCTCTATTCCTAAATTTACGAAACAACAATTATAACGAACCAGGTTTCAATTAAATCTTAACGTTTAAAAAGAAAACTTGTATCCATTATGTTGTCTATATTTATATTTAGCAAATGAAAATATCGTTTGCAATATATTATATCAAATAAACGGGAGGGTTCCGTGAGGCTGAAGTTTGTTGAGTAGCATTAAAAGATTAAAAGTCGACAGTTCGCTCAAGCTGTATCGAATCGAAACTGGAAACGATCTCTCGACTCGGCTCTAACATATATTTGCGATGCAGGCGGCGCGTCCGTGGCGAACTTCGCCTAGCGAATGCAAAAATTTAAATTAAAAACATAAATCAGCTGTGTATCGAGTAACTTTCGAGATTGGTGTATATTTCGAATGCACGTGTTTTGGTATGGCTTAATATGATATTTTAACTTTGTTGATTTTGAATTATAAAAAGAATTTAAGGTATAAAGTATAATATAGATTGGTAAAAAAAATATGTTTAGTATGAAACAGATTAGTAATGAGAAGGAAAATATGCTCTAACAAATAATTATAGCGTAACAATCTCCACCTCGAGTATTTCTGAATTAATTGCTTTGAAATCATTACGAGTATCATAATCTCATAATCTTAATTAAGAGAACTTTAGCCAGTTCAAATTAGAAATTTTAATCTTCTGAAAATCCCTTCCCGGTGTGCCATTGCTGTTTATAAAGTTGATTTTTTTGCAATTTTTCATAGTTAGAATCTAACTTAATTAGGTAACTTGGGTGAACTAAATCTTTTAGTGTGTCTTAAATAACAGTCTTGAAATAAAATATAAATCTAGAAACTTCTAAGTTGCTCGTATAGTAACTCGCTTATAATAAAAAAAATCTTAGTAACTTCAGTTTTAGAGTTATCACATTTATGATAAACTATGTCACAATTTAGATATGAAGTTTTTTTACTTAAAATATCTACATTTACACAGTTGAATTATATTTAAATACAGGTATGTAAATTTTATTACAAAGAACAAACTTACAAAGATATTAATAAATTGTTTTCAGAAAAAATACGTCACTGTGCACATTTGAAATATAAAGCAAAAAGGTGTCCACATCGCATCACGTTAAGGAAAAATATTTATTGTTTCAAAAGAATAACGCTTTTGCGCTCCATTGGTTCACTCATTTCATTTTCATTGATTCGTTTGAGGAAAGTGGGATAAAAGAAAGATAAAACTTGAATGGTACACAAAACGAATGATTTAACAGATCTTTACTTTTAAATTGAAAAGTAAAAGCCAATGATTGGAGCTAAAACAAATCAAATTAATTTTATTTAAGTTACGCAAAATAAATATTTATGATGTAAATATAAGTACTACTGTTTAGTTTATAAGGTTTGGAGATGCCGTGGCCCGTCACACGTTCATGCCCTTGCGTAAGTTAGCGATCTTGAGAAGAAATCTTCAGTCAGACTTTCTTTTAGTTTTTAAATTTTGAGAAAGGAAATAAACAACCATCTAGTCCCATCCTAGTCAGAGTACTATAGTAAACAGACTGCTAATAAACATAGATACATTCCTAAAAATGTAGTAGATAAATAAACACCAAAACACAGACATATTGACCGTGCTCATTTCACGCTTATTTTACCTGGCTCAGCAGTCAACATCTTTAACCACTTGATGGACTGGCTTGTATTAAAATCTTAGTAGCACTGTATCTACTAAGACTTTCCCGTGCTTAGAAGAAGAAAATGCCCTGTATACGGTAATAGTTTCTTAACCTTGTACTACCTTTGACAAAAACTGTAAGTGGCTAAACCCCTACTAATATTAAAAACGAGAGTAACACTGTCTGTTTGTTACGCCATAACGGTTTGACCGCTAAACAGATTTTAATGAATTTTGACATGGAGATACTTTAATTGTTGAGAAAGGATAAAGGCTACTTTTTACCGCGATAACCGATATACAAGCGGGTGAAATCGCGGGCAAAAGCAAATGTTAGATATATACATAGCCTAACCTTAGCTTTCCTTAACATCTGCAATTTTAAACTTCCTTCTTATTATTTTATATGTAGAAATAATATTTGATGTTTAGTAATCCACTTCTAAAAATACTATCGCCTGACAAATATTTAAAAACATATGATGCTAACCAATTATAACAGTGTCATGGATAGCCTTTGTAGACTGTTTACAGTGAATAACGAAAAGCCAGTTTCAGACTACAATAGTTTTTGTTACAAATTAGTTTACAATTAATACTATGGATACGCAGCTAATTCATATTGTCCGTAAATAAGATGTGAAGTCCACAAGCTGTGAACTTGACTTTGCGACTGTACTCACTATAGGAGGAGATAAGAATGCTTTGTATTATTGTCTTTGAAACAGGACTATTAGATTAGACATAACAAAACACTGATAAAAATTAGTATGACGATTATAGTAACGCTATTATACTCGTATTTTTTAACATTAAGAAATCAATTAGTAGATTTATATGTCTATTTATTTAGTGTTAATGTCAATTCATATTATAGGTATAATAGTTATAGTATCTACATTTTACCTAACATTAGTACACTGGAGCCAATGAACTTGCAATAAAACAGTAGAAATTATAACAAGCGGTAGTAAGTGTTCGTTTCATGAATAGTTCAGACTTAATTAAAATATGGTGTGATTTCAGCGGTGAGTGGCGTCAGCTGGGAGGAATGGTGGACCTACGACGGCATTTCAGGTGAGTTTCCTTTTATTGTCATTATTACTGCACCAATATTTATGAATAGTTTGTTATTGTATTTTTTTGAGGGTTTAATTAGGAAATACATCCACCCTAGATAAGCCTAAATACGTTAAAGTCACAAAGTAGTGGTGATTTTAGTGTTTCCTAAGAGTCAGTGAGAGTACCGATACTCCATGTGTTTATGGGATATTTATGGCTTGATCTTTTTAAGCTCTGCAACACACGAGTGCCCACACCTGCTTACATACACGAGCACAATTAATAGTCTGTCATCATTTTGTTACCTAAAAAGGTAATCCTCTCGGTATTAAAATATTACTGGCCATCAAACTTATCCACTTAATCTGAGCCACAGGCTACTAAAGTTAAAAGTAGTGGTCTCTACCGAGTAAATTCTATCTACGAGTAAAAGGGCATTGAAATAAAACATCATAAATTCTAAATAAAGACAATTTCCCTTCTTTTTTATTAAAGAAAAAAGTTGAAGTGTTCTTTTTATAAATAGTTATAAGACGTTCACTTATAAAAAGCTAAGCCCACTTTACACTAAACGTAGTCGGTGCCATGTTTGAATTTGCCGTTAAATTACTAAATTTTTTTTTGCGATAAGGATTTGCACACGCATCAAAGTTTTTGTTTCTGTTCTAATTTTTTTTAAGGCATAATCGATCAATAGTTGGTCATTACACGTGTACACAATCTTTTAAATATAATTATTTTAAATTAAATATAATTATTTTAAAAAGATTGTGAAGATTAATCTGATTAATAAAAGATTTATTTGATTGCATTATGACAATGAAAAGAGATAAATTTTATAATAATTCATCTCACACTACACAACACTTTACAAAGTATTGTGTACGTTAATGTACGTTAATTGTTAATTTATTTTCTTGTCTTACTTATAAACGTGGGCTTCCAACGTTTATATTGTATTGCATAGACTTTTTTAGAGATTGTACCTTTTCATAACTTTTGTTTATTTACAAGTTAAAATCTCCAAGGGTTGTTTTCTTAACAGCCAGTTTAAGAGCACCTAAGTTATTTAATATTTTTTATTCAAATTATAATAAAGGCTGTCACATACGTTTTAATTTATGTTATCTGTATTTTATTTCATACCTTAGTTCGGCAATATACGCTGATGATGATGTATTTTTACTAATTTATTATTATTATTTTGAGTCAGTTAGTTGTATGCATTTGCAAGATGCATGTACTTTCTTAAATCACTATGTGTTATACCAGGAGTTCTTTGTTTACTGTTATAGAAACAAATACTTGCAATTTACTTACCGTTTAACTTTTATTTTAGTTTGTAACACATACTCGATGTTGAAATAGTCATTATGGCCCATTAAAAAGTACACTTTGTTTCTCTCCAAAATACACCTATAAACAAACAGTTTAAGTAAGTACCATCGTAAGCACATTATTACTGATCTAACTTTAACTGACTTTATACAGTAACTTGATGCTTAAATTTACATACCTACACTTTAAGATTTCTACGGACTCTTCAACAGGTCTTGGTTATATCACATAAGGTTATATTTTGTGTAGAAATATCAATTCATTGACCTACCACAAAACATTCGTTTTGTGTGCCGTATCAATTTCTCTGTGCCGATAACATTTTTGCCGGTTTACGTGACATGAAATTTATACGGGCGATTTATCTTGCATTCATATTACGTCACTCGCAAAATTGTGAGGTGTGTTATCATGTGTTCGGCTATTGATGTTTCCATCATATCTTCCGTGCATTTTATGATTATCTAATATTGCTTTTTCCTGGAGTGGGGATTGTAGTAATAGTACCGAACATTGAAACTATAAAGCCGGTGCATCCTTCATTATTGGTTTAGATTTAGAAGATAGTTTTAATGAATGAGCTTTTTGATAGCAATCATCGAATTAAAAATACAGTTCGTTCGTATCGACGATTTTTCTTCAAGAAAACCGATTTAAAAACACCATAGTCAACATGGTAAAATGTTGAGTATGGTGTTTTTAAAGCCGTTTTCTAACTTTTTTGCATTTTTTTTATGATAATTAACATCGAAGGTGTACAAAATAGTGTATCATCAGTGTCCCGATGGGTTGAAATTATAGTAAACCAAGGTAAAAGTTAAAAATATCGTTAATAAAATGGTTGGTCTGATAGGTTTGGATTATTAGTTAATGAGAGAAAGTCTCAGGCTATTATTCTCCTCGTCATAGTCACGCGCTAAGTAAACTAAGTGTAATTTTTATGCCAACGCGTAAAGTGCATGACATATTATCAAGGGTCCTCAGAGCTTTATCATCACCAGCCTTTACTAGTCTACTGCTGGACGTATGCCTCTCCTCAGAAAGGAGGTTTCGGCCTACTATACCACGCTGGCCAGTCGGGTTGGTATAGGGTTTGTTTCAAGTTTTCCTTCTCTTTGCAGTGTGATTGTTCTCCGTAGTTTACTCCCTTAGTCGGCTCCTACGACACCCTCAGGATGAATAGGGGTAGTGACACTCTGTATTCTTAATCCATTACCACAGGAAGCTTTAGAACCCCTTGTTTTTTAAGTGCGGAACTCCTCTCGGATACCACCCACCAGTCGGTGATTATGTCAGACTCCAGGTACCAGTAGCCGGGGAACCAGGTTTACCCTAGAAAGTAAAGCCCTGGTACCCCGACGTACCTCGGGCCATCTATGGCTTATAGATGACCCCTTCTTTGTGGAAACCCGGATGTTCCCTTCCTGCCCCGAAGGGCGTGCGCGCTCCGTAGCGCATCGCGCCATTACCCACCCCGGCCTGCTTCTGCTAGAGTGACAGATGGCCTCACCTGTCACTCTCAGGTCTGCGCTTATGGAGGACGGAGATCGCTCCGCGACAACTTTTTACGGTATATGTATTCGTATTTGCAAAACAATAATACAAGATTTGAACTTCGGTTATTCACTATATAATGATCAAACGACGGATTAAGAATACGGAATGACACTACCCCAATTCATCCCGTGGGTGTCGTAAGAGCCGACTAAGGGCGCAAAACAACGCAGGTCACTAGCACTGCAAAAAGAAGGAAAACTTGACACAAACCCTAAACCAACCCGTCTGGCCAGCGTGGTGTAGTAGGCCAAAACCTCCTTGCTAAGAAGAGGCCTATGTCCAGCAGTGGACTATTAAAGGCTGATGATGTGATCAAACGAATTGTTAAAGTGTTAAATGAGCTAAACAATTCTAAAATATGAAAATAATCATAAACCATCATAAAATTTATAAAACTTATAAAACCATGTTGCATATAAACCTTTTCTACGTACTGGACTTCAGATATACTCGTATATATTGAACACAGTTGTTAAACTGTCATTTGTGTTAACTAATATCCATTATTTTCTTTTCAGTAGAAATAACATAGAAATTCATTTTCCTCTTTTCGTTTGCCTAATTTACCCGAGGCTAAAGTAATCAAGGCAAAGGTTTATGTATTAAAAATGTATCAATACACGTCACCGTCAGTCGGACTGCTCCTGCCAATGCTAGGGACTTAGAAGTTGCGTGATACCGCAACACTCGCATCTTCGTCAAATATTTATACACATTGTAATCACAACGTAAATATTAAAAGGCAAAATTTTCTGTTATTAAATATTTGTTTCCTTGTTATGTTATGTTTTTCTTCTAAGGCACATTTATTTATTTGGACCACCAGTAGTCATTGTTTTTTTTCTTTTTTATTTCTCCCCACTTCAAGTCTAAGTTCTTACTAAGCAGTGGTACAAGTTTTTAAGTGGTGCAAATTAAAGAAAGGGATAGGGATATGGGGTACGGGATACCTCAAATCAAAGGCAAAGCTGGCTAAATCTTCAGTAGCCGAAAAAAGAAAAGTTTCTAAGACAGCATAATAAGTACTTAAATAGGTGAAAGGAATAAACCTTTTTACAAGCCTCTTCTTATCATGTTATAATCTCTAAGCTGCACTGGCACATTTCCTTTTTACAAAACTAAAACAGGTGTTTATAAAAAAAATAATTTAATGTAAAACCCAGTGAGTCTCAACTCATGCTAATTAAATTCCCATACAAAAGGTAATTATACGATCATTGTCATTGTACTATTAATTGCACAAATACAATTACATACAATAGCGAACACACAAAATATTATCATCCTACAGTAGTCACAAATTAATAAATAGCTTTTATTACGTATATATTTTCCATTTTTGAATTCTCAATTTGGATTCCATGAAAGTTTCAGGAATACCCATAAAATAAACCATAAATGATAAAATATTTGAAATCATCCAGATAGCAAATTGTATGCAGAAATGCTGAATATGTTAAGAGTATATAATTGCGGTTTATTTAAATTCAACATACAACATTTTTATATTATCAAAGTCAAAATCAAAGTGAAACTAAGGCCTTCCCAATATTAACTGAATTTCAAAAAATGAAAATAATTTTATATGAAGATCAATATGATTTGAAATTGGACAAACCAAGACACAGAAAGATTAACCGACAAGGATAGACAAAGAACAAAGAGGTTAGTTCAGCGATTAACACAATATACCAAATATGTAAATAATAGCAGTGAATATTTGGTTTCGTAAAATTTAGTATTTAAATTTGTCAATGATTTAATTTTAAAGTTTTGCATATATTTAAGATAAGTGTACTAATGTCGCATACAGTGCCAAAAATAATAAAAAAGTGCATACATTAATGTAAAGTTCACTTAACGCGTGGCCATAAAGTGGGCGTGACCGCAACCGCTGCGCCGGCTTACTCATGCAATTTTCAAGGTCATAAATAATAAAACCGTGAATACGATCCAAAGCACTTTGGCTACTTTCGCGCCACTCCCCGCCAATATTGAAATACCTTCTCAACATAAATGTTTGTGGTTTTTTATTACGATAATCTGTCAGGTAGATGTGTAATGATATCGGTTCATTATCATCGTTTTGTGGACGATTATTCGTTAATTATTCGGAATGATACTGCTAATTGCTGTCAATTTATTACTCTGATAAAATTCCCGTAGGCATGTATTGTGAAAAATATGATTTGATCCTGATATCAGTGATCAATGTTTGAAATTAACTTTTATTGCTATGAATATTTATCTATTCGGTGCTAGCGCTCCGTCTTCATTACTGACACAAACATTCGCTCCTCCTGTTGGAAATGTCAGTAGATAGTGGAGAACTGATTGTTTTGAATTATAGCAGCCTGTTGATCTGTATTACAAAACACATTAACATTACTGTAATGACATTACACATGATTTCTGTTATGACCACCATAACAAACTTCATCATATCACCATCACCATCTTTCTACTCTTTTTTAAGATTGTACTTGAGGTTGGCGCAATGTGTAGCACTACGAAGGGTGTCAGGTGTTTTTTTATAGCTGTTTGCGTGCCGGATATCATTACTCTCTGAAAATGTAATCCTTATTAAACGGGACGAAGAAAGAAGGTAAACTGGAATAGGAAAAACTATACAGGAAACTAGTGTTAAGGAATACCACGGTAAGTCGCATATGGGACTTAACACCAGACACCATCTAGTGTCATTCGACAGAGAGTGCAGTAGCTTAGAGAAGTTGTCCTGAGATTGGATAAACTATTAGAATAGGGTTAATGGTATTTAGGTATGTAAAAACCAAACAGTCAAAAAGTTGTGTATTAGCTGAGAAGAAAGTCTTCAAGAACCCCAGCTGACCGCCTCTTAAGCCACAGAATTAGATTTTTTTTCATTAAGAATGGCGCGCAGATCCTGCGTCCTTTGGCGCCTGGTCTCTTCTTATAGACGAAATTGTTACCCAAGTCTATACAACACAGGTACTTACTAAAACTTTCGTTTTAGTAATTCGTTCGTTTTATTTGTATCAGGCAGGAGTGGCCGTCGTACCACCACACTGTACAATCTTTTATGATGAGTTTAACCACCACGATTAGTGGAGTACCTGGAGTATTCTTAAGTGGCGGTTTTAGTAAGAAATTCACCATAAAAAATGTTTAGACTTCATGGTACGAATTAAAATTATATTATATTATTATTGTACTATTTTTATTTTTTTTGCGAATCAATATATATATAAAATAATATAATAATAAAAAATATTATATTACTCTTTTGTGAATCCCAAAAATATCGATGTGCAAATAAATCAGATCTATCAGTTGTTTTAAACAACTGTTTTCTATAGCACATATCTTAAAATTCTAGTTCTATTCATATAAACTAATTGTTTGGTTTAGCTAGCCAACACAAATAGGGATTACTTCATATTTTTTAAGCGTGCAAAAATACTTGAACAAACCTATTCCACTTTTAATTAAGTTGGGAGCCTCAAAGCAATTACCACACACACTAGAGTTGTTTCAACTTTCTAGTTTTGAAACCAGTATATGCAATTTTGATTTTTATGTGTAGGTCCAGCGTTCTGGGGCCTGATCAATCCAGAATGGTCACTTTGCAACAAAGGTCGACGGCAGTCTCCCGTCAACCTGGAACCAGATCAGCTCCTTTTCGATCCCAACCTTCGGTTTTTACACATAGATAAGCATAGGGTAAGTAGTAACCTTACACTTTCATAATAATTTAATTTAACATGTAGATCAAATTCCAAATATAAGCACCAGTAATTGCTATTCTTATCTACGTATCTGTATGTGTATTGATTCAAGGAAATTTACTATTATTTTAACGAAAGACCATCCCAGATTATAATACCGTCATAAATAGTATGTTATTTGTCACTATAGTTATATTAATATTAATAATATAACTACAGTGACATAATTATAGTTAAAGGTTTTAAAGTTATAAAGCTCCATGGCAAAACTTGTGAAAAATACCAGAAAAGAGAATCAGTAATAATTTTGAGACTAACATGTGCCATCGTGTTAGTGGTCGCGATAAAGAAAAGTTACCTACTAATAATATTTTTTTTGTTTCATTTCTTAAAAACAGATAAATGGCTTAATAAGTAATACAGGCCATTCAGTCATCTTCACTGTAGAGAACGAGACCCGACACCACATCAACATCACCGGGGGTCCATTGTCCTATAAGTATCAGTTCCATGAAATACACATACATTACGGCCTCCATGACCAGTTCGGATCAGAACATGCCATCAATGGCTATACTTTCCCTGCAGAGGTAAGAAATATTATATATACATTCTCATAATAAGGTACACTTAGACAAATCTTCACTTAGAAAACATTTTGGATTAATAATTTCTCCACATATGGCAGTCATGCAGATTCATATTCCTTCTATAAAATATTCAAAGATTTTCTTGCGAAACTCATGATACATTATGTAAGCAACCGAGGATAAAACCTAAGTGAAGCGTCGAATAAACATGTAACGTACGTAGATAAACGTTAAAATGTTATCAGGGATTTCTTTGGAAAGGTCTCAAAAGAAAGCGTAACAGATGTTTTCACACGCATAGGCGCCGCTTCGCTCTGCTTCCATCTTTGAGACGGTGAAATCCCAAATGTAATCCCGACGAACGACTTCACTACGAGTCAACTCAACCGTGACTCCTGTTTATTTATGTGACAAATTCTTACGCAGCCACGTTAAATCCAAAGTTATGTGCTTATCCTAGCATTCAACTCCACTTTACTTCAGATCATATTTTGCTTACAATACTACTAATGAAAGTTTATTAAACCTTTTTAATGCTCTAGATATTTTTAAGGTTTTTACAATAATTATTGTAATTACTTTGCTAGAAATTGTGAATAATTATTTTTGACTGCTTGATGTTTAAAATGTGTGACACCTAACAAGGCCTTACATAGAACAGAAACTCATTACCATGAATTATTATATATATATAGCTATATTTTAATCATATCTTTCACGAAAATTTTGACTGTGTTTTGTTTTGAATGTTATTGTTTCTTAATTAACTTTAAAAAGTTGAACAGTGATCAATAAATCACTTTTCTTCAATATTATTTATGTGAATTATCGTAAAACATAAATCTTGTAACCCAAAAAAAAGTAAGTAGTCATTTAATATACATTTGTTACAGATTCAAATATTTGGTTTCAATTCGCAACTGTATTCAAACTTTTCGGAAGCGCTACATAAGGCTCAAGGGATTGTTTCAATATCGCTGTTGTTACAGGTAACTTATAACATTTAGAACTGCAGACTATTGGTTTTTACACCAGTGACTAGTAATGCTACTCCCACACTAGATTAGTTCTATATCTAGTGCTTTTACGTATCGTATATATAATTATATATATATATATATATAAATATATATATATATATATATATCATCAACAGCCTTAAACAGTCTACTGCTAGACATAGGCCTTTCCTTAGAAAGGAGGTTTGGTCTACTATGCCACGCTGGCCAGAAGGGTTGGTATAGGGTTTGTTTTACGAGGTGGGCCCCGATCTGTCGGACGCCCAATTTGGTTTTCGGGCGGGGCGTTCGACAGTCGATGCTGTTTTGCGCCTGAGGGCCGTGACTGAAGAGGCCGTTAGCTGTGGCGGCGTGCTGTTGGCGGTGTCATTGGACATCCCCCATACGGGTGGCCCTGGATAAGACGGAGGCCCTGTTATTTTATGGGCCCCGTCGTGGTCCACCCCCTGGCGCCTCAATCGTGGTCAACTCGGTCCTCGTACCGGTTCGGGCCCAGATGAAATATCTGGGCCTGATCCTCGACGGGAGGTGGCTCTTCGACGAGCACTTCCGACAGCTTGCTCCAAAGCTGGTCGGCGCTGCGTCTGCCATAGGGCGACTTTTGCCCAATTTGGGTGGACCCAGCGTCGCGACAAGACGGCTGTACACGGGGGTTGTCCGGTCAATGGCACTATACGGTGCACCGGTGTGGGCGGCGGCTCTGACCGCCCAGAATAGGGCACGCCTCTGGCGCCCTCAGAGGGTAATGGCGGTCAGAGCCATACGCGGTTACCGCACCGTTTCGACGGAGGTGGCTTGCGCGTTGGCCGGAACTCCCCCGTGGGATTGGGAGGCGGAAGTGCTCGCCGAAGTTTATCGGCGAGTGTCTGACTCCCGGGCGGAGAGCGGATTTCGCCCTCCGCCCGAAGACGTGCGCGAGTGGCGCGAAGCCGTTAGCCGAGCCACGATGGCTCGTTGGTCGTTCCGGCTGGAGATTCCACGCGCTGGCTTCGCCGCCGTGGAGGCTCTCCAACCGGTCATCGCCGAGTGGGCAGGGCGGCAGCACGGGACCCTTACCTTCCGGCTGACGCAGGTGCTTTCCGGGCACGGTTGCTTCGGAAAGTACCTGCACTCGGTCGCTAGGAGGGAACTGAGTCCCGCCTGCCACCACTGCGACTGCAGTGAGGACTCGGCCCAGCACACGCTGGCGGTCTGCCCCGCATGGGCGCAGCGCCGGGCCCTCACTGCAGTCATCGGAGTGGATCTCTCGCTACCGGCCGTAGTACGCTCCATGGCCGGTAGCGACAGTTGTTTTACCGTGGTCGCAACCTTCTGCGAGGAAGTAATCTCGCAGAAGGAGGCGGCGGAGAAGGCCCGGGAGGACGACCTCCACTCGGACCCGATCCGCCGCCGGCGAACCGTGCGGCGGAGGCGCGCCTATCACCGCCTCATGCCGCCCTGAGTGTGGCCGCGGGTGAACGGGGTGGGTTTCCCCTCCACCCGTATTAGTTTGGCCAGCCGCGAGGGGGCGGCGTCCGCGTGTGCCGGACGTCGCCTAAATAGAGAATGTACCTGAAGGTGGTGCCCGCATCGTTGCGGGCAGGCGCTAGGAGGGGTCCGGAGGTCCTAATAACAGCAGTTCCCGGATCCCTCCCTCCTATTACAGGCGCAGAGTGGCACACCGTGTGGTTTTAGTCGGTCCGAGCCCGACACACCACCCCGCTGCAAACCCCGGTGGGGTGACGGTCCGAGGGGATTTCCACACGTAAAAAAAAAAAAAAGGGTTTGTTTCAAGTTTTCCTTCTCTTTGCAGTGATATTGTTCTGCGTAATTTGCTCCCTTAGTCGGCTCTTACGACACCCACGGGATGATTGGGGGTGGTGACAATGCGTATTCTTAATCCGTCACCACATGGATATATATATATATGTATATATAAATAAATGTCTATATTATGATGAGCGGAAATACTAAAATCAAAAGGGAATAAAACCGTTTTAATCGTAAACAAATTTCTTGCTTTACTACCTGTACTGAGACGTACGTAGACTTTATTTATATTAATTATAACACTTAAAATTTTGCCAATTTCATTTATTTACACACCTTTTAAGGCATCGCAAACATAAATAACATCCTTATTTATAGGTTTAATACATAGATTATTTAACGTATGTATAACAATACCGTTCAAAATAAGAAGAAAAATTTAAAATTTGATATACACCCTTTTTTTTAATATGTTTCTACATGCGCATTTACGTATTAATTTATTCATGGTATCTAATTAGCAAATAAACAAAAACCAATACATACAGACGAAGCTTTCACGTGACTTATAATACTTTCAGGAATGGTTCAGCCACTTCGAAATAATACAATTCAACAAACAGTAATTGTATCGCTGTGTTACCGTTGGCCGCACCTCTCCATAGACGAACTTGAGCGTAGTTCATTAAGGAAATTGGAATTTTCTGTGCGCCATTGGATTAGCCACTAAAGCTATTAGTTCAAATTAAGAACTGTCTGCACGTTGCGGTGTAAAAGTAGACGCCCGTCATCGTCACCACTCGGGGTCAACGGAGTACCACCCTGTAGTTTCAATTAACTAATAATTGCCACCGTTTATTATATCGGCGATATTAACCAATATTATTATTATTAATTATATTAATATAATAAAAGTTAATGATGGGATGTTTTACTTACTTACTTTTTTCAATATATAATTAAAAATATAAAATATAAAAACACTCCATTATTAAGTTTTTTAGTAATATCAGCATAATATGCTCTTTTTATATTCCGTTGTGAAAGTCAGACTTTGCATTGAATGCCAGCTTTGAAGTACAGAGTACTTATAGATTGTAATAATAAAATGATAAATGTTTTTCTTATAAACTTTCTTCGCATTGAAGATTAAAATAGAATATAGGGTAGATATTATGAATATCGACTTTGTCAAAGGAAGTAATTACGATTTACTAAGACATAAAAGAGTAGGTGTTTAAGATTTCATACAAAACGGTATCAACAATTATGTATTAAATAACAAAGTATGACATCACGCCTGAATGCTGTCAAATCAATCAGCTTTATGTCAAGTATATGATTGTATAATAAATAGAAACCTTTAAATAACTTAGGACAATAACTTCCAGAGCATCATAAGATGTTTACTTGTTATGTTTACTTGTTGTTTTAAAATAAACCTTATAAAAGGTGACTAACCAAAACTTTAAAAACATTCTCCATGGAAACAACAACTGATTTCTTTACAATCGCTCAACCGGATATGAGACACTTTCCAAGAATACCGATGTGTGTCCAGATTTTCTTTGGCATCTCCCTTAAGAGAGGCTATTTTCGATCGTTTTATGGTTTTCTTTAATGAAGGCCGGTGCCTGTGTTAGCACATCCCAGCCGGTGTTGTCCCAAAGGGGAATATGTTTACTTACACGTTCATATTTCGCTTGGTGGCGCCGTTAACTGAAACTTTGCTAAAGCAAGCTATTTCCGCACACACGACAAACAATTAGTTTGTGATGTATGCCTTTCTTTTTATTACTTTACACGTTCTTAAAATTATTTTTAACATAACTTCGTTACCACGAAACAATAAAAATTCCCTAACTGTACTTTTTGTAATTACGGTATATCATAACTAGGAAACTTTTTAAGAGTAGAAACAGACATTTAGTTATTATTTTAAATGAATAACCTTATGACAGGTTAGCAATCAGTTTCCTGCAGGAATTGGTGGAGGGCCTTTTCCCGGAACGGGTGGAACACACACCCCCGTCGATGGTTACTTTGGCCGTCGACGACGGAGAGAACGTGGATGATGTTCCGCCCGTCCGGGATTCGGAGGTAGAGGCGGCTGTTCTGCGGATCCGTTCCAAAAACACCGCCCCTGGGCCAGACGGGATACCGGCCCGAGTACTGGCCCTAGCCCTTCACCACATGGCAGACCGCCTCAGGGAGGTGTTCGACGCTAGCTTGGTGTCCGGACGTTTTCCTGAGTGCTGGAAGAGCGGGAAGCTGGTCCTATTGAGGAAGCCGGGACGGCCTGCCGATTCGGTCGCGGCCTACAGGCCCATTGTGTTGCTCTTGCTCTCTATCCGCATCGTCCGCCACCTCTACGAGGTGGGCCCGGACCTGTCGGACGCCCTATTCGGTTTTCGAGTGGGGCGTTCGACGGTGGGCGCTGTGCTGTGAGGGCCGTGTCCGAAGAGGCGGTGAGCTGTGGCGGCGTGCTGTTGGCAGTGTCATTGGACATCGCCAACGCATTCAATAGTCTGCCATTCAGCTGCATCAGGGAAGCACTACTTTTTCATAGGGTGCCCAAGTACCTGAGGCGGCTAGTGGCAGACTATTTAGAGGAGCGTACCGTCGAGTACGAGGACCGAACTGGTAATCTGAGGTGTCAGCCCATGTCGTGCGGTGTTCCACAGGGGTCTGTTCTTGGACCTCTCCTGTGAGGGGGCGAACTTTCAAGAGGCGGCGCGCTTGGCCACCAGGGAAGTCTCTCTGGTGGTCGGGCGAATTGAGGCGCTGGGCTTACGGGTGGCCCTAGATAAGACGGAGGCCCTTTTATTCCATGGGCCCCGTCGTGGTCCACCCCCCGGCGCCTCAATCGTGGTCAACTCGGTCCTCGTACCGGTTCGGGCCCAGATGAAATATCTGGGCCTGATCCTCGACGGGAGGTGGCTCTTCGACGAGCACTTCCGACAGCTTACTCCAAAGCTGGTCGACGCTGCGTCTGCCCTTGGGCGACTTCTACCTAATCTAGGTGGACCCAGCGTCGCAACGAGACGGCTGTACACGGGGGTTGTCCGGTCAATGGCACTGTATGGTGCACCGATATGGGCGGCGGCTCTGACCGCTCAGAATAGGGCACACATCTGGCGACCTCAGAGGATATTGGCGGTTAGAGCCATACGCGGTTACCGCACCGTTTCGGCGGAAGCGGCTTGCGCGTTGGCCGGTACTCCCCCGTGGGACTTGGAGGCGGAAGTGCTCGCCGAAGTATATCGGCGGACGGCTGGTTTCCGGGCGGATAGTGGCAGTCGGACCCCGCCCGAAGAGATAAGCGAGTGGCGTGAGGCCGCCGAGCCACGATGGCTCGTTGGTCGTCCCGGCTGGAGGCTCCACGTGCTGCCAGTCATCGTCGAGTGGGCAGGGCGGCAGCACGGGACCCTTTCCTTCCGGCTGACGCAGGTGCTTTCCGGGCACGGTTGCTTCGGAAAGTACCTGCACTCGGTCGCTAGGAGGGAGTTTAGTCCCGCCTGTCACCACTGCGATTGCGGTGAGGACTCGGCTCAGCACACGCTGGCAATTTGCCCGGCTTGGGCGCCGCAGCGCCGGGTCCTCATTGCAGTCATCGGGGGGGATCTCTCGCTACCGGCCGTCATACGCTCCATGGCCGGTAGCGACAGATGCTTTACCGCGGTCGCATCCTTCTGCGAAAACGTCATCTCGCAGAAGGAGGCAGCGGAGGGGGCCCGGGCCCATTTCTTAATAATGCGCCGTGATAAAAATAAAAATGAAACCTGAGTCTTTTGGCCTTTTGTGGGGTGAACAATTTTATATACAGGAAAATGGTTAACTTTATTACTAAAACAAATTTTTGTATCATACGATACTTCAGTGTGCCTACACTGAAGTATCGTATGATACAAAAATTTGTTTTTAGTTAAGGCGTAAACAATTGCTTTATCCGATATTTCTTTTATTTTATTTTGCCAGAGTCTATATAATTTCTAGAAAAACTACGCGTTCTCAATAAATAAGGAAAAAAAACTGTTACTTTCTGAGAATAACATAGCTTATTATAGAAACAAAAAAGCGAAATCACCACCTTTATGTATTTATAGTATTATATTGTATAGTATAAATTAGTATTCATTTATTTTTTTATTGCTCATATAGATATTTTTTTCAGCTCGGAGATTTATCAAATCCAGAGCTGAGAGTACTGACAGAAGAATTAGAAAATATTAAATACGGAGGTCGGTACAAGATTATTGACAACACAGTTGAGAGTATTTTGTGATAATATTTAGTATAAATATTTTATTGAACTTTTATAAAGTATGATATTATTTCATTAGTCCCGATCACATCACATCAACAGCCTTTACTAGTCAACTGCTGGACATAGGCCTCTCCTTAGAAAGGAGGTTTGAGTCCCGATGCGTCCTATTATTTTTTGGCTCCATATAGCGTTTCTTAAATATGACCTAAACCTTCCTGTAACTTTATTTATTTTAATACCTGTTTATTAGTTGTGTGTTTATTTCAATACCGAGATCACCCCTAGATTATCATTAACCAAACCCGAAATCCCGAGATTAGTTAAAAGAGCCGCGATGAGTGAGTGAGGTGAGTAATCATCAGATATTGCAATCATTATAATAATATATACCTCACACATCTCACACACGGCCGTCTCATTCCAAATTAGGCAGAGCCTGCACTATGGGAACCAGACTGCTGATAATCATGCTTATATAGTTTTACATATTACTTCTAAGTCTAATATCTATATTATAGATAAATTACACCCAGACACATAACAAATTACCGTGCTTATCACACAATATTTGGCCTGTGTGGGAATCGAACCCTCGACTCTGGCTTAGCAGTCAGGGTTACCAACCGCTACATCACTCGTCTGTTATTTCGGACTAAACACTGATCAACATTAATTAAATAACATTTTAATGAAATTATTAGGTGCCGAGATGCTCGTAAACAAATTGTCAGTCCGCGGTCTGCTGCCTGATACAGACTATTATATGACATACGACGGCTCTACCACCGCACCTGCTTGCTATGAGACTGTCACCTGGATCATTGTCAACAAGCCTATATACATCACAAAACAACAGGTTAGAATAAACCTTATTTATAAATATTATTCTGATTGTATTAATGAGAGTGCCAGTATGTTAGTTACGCTCTCACGTCTTAACTACTCAAACGATCACCAAGAGATTTAGAAGTATTCCTTATCATGGATTCAATACCTATACGATATAGTACTCGAGGTATATAAAACAATTTTTGAACAGAACAATTTATTGTATTAATTAAGTGAGTGATGTAGATCACTATAGTTAGAAAATATTCAATCAAGCAAGAGTTAAACAAATGTTGACTGTTCCTAAAGTCTAAGTTCGTAGTTTGCATAACATGGCTTTCTTGCACCCTTCAAGTTTCGCAATAGAGTTACAAAATATGGAAAAGATTTTTATATACACATTTGATTTAGTAATTCAAATATTATCTACCCGCAAGGAAATAAAACAACTTTGTAAAAAATATTGTAGACGGAATTTAAATTGTGAGTTTAAATAAATGTATGTATGTATGTGTGATAAATGTTTTTAATGTGCTATTAAATATCACTTGCACCTAAAAATTACTTAAACTACCTTTGTCCTCTGTTAGTAAGAGTAACTTTACAGCATTAGGATTCAAACCCACTATTCCCATCCTCAACATAAATATTCATGACATTGATCCGTTCTTCATTTACCACGCTGCTATGATGATAAACAACTACAAGCTATTTTGACTACTCATATTGCAGGACAAAAAGACAGTGATGTGTAAAAACAGCATGACAAGTGACTATCAGCTAATGTTCGGTTACATTATAACCTTTTTAATTGTAAATATTCAATTATAAATAATATACACAGCAATAAAGTACAAAAATATCTGACCCACTTAAATTGAACCAACAACACTTTCAACTTTATAATGAGGATTCGTGCTGATATTACTGCATAAAGGTGTTATTTCACAATAAGCTGCACTAATTCTATCAATCTCACACATCACACACACGGCCGTCTGATCCCAAACTAGGCAGAGCCTGTACTATGGTATCCAGACTGCTGATAAACATACTTATATATTTTAAATAGATACATATTTTAGATAAATTACGCCCAGACACAGAACAAATGTATGCACGACCTCTGGTTTAGACCCGGCAAATGAAATTCAAATTGTTTAAAGATGCATCCAATTCATAATGAAATATTCTCTACGACGCAATGCACATTAAATGTAGCTATATTACTAAATCTGAATACATTTTGGCTAGTACACATGAGGCGACGACCGTTGGTTGTAGCCGGCGGATCCAGTCGAAGACAAGTTTCTACGTATTCTAGCGTAGTTGACGCTAGCGTAATAACATTTTCATTTGTGCCCACGCTACAATAAACAACTCACGTCTCTCGCCTTTAGACAAAGACTCCACCGTGAATTATATACGTGTTAAAAGTAAACTGAAAGTGCCGCGTTGTGTGGCTGTTATTATAAATCATTGTTTATGTTTTCCGTTTGTGTTGGTGGGAAAATTAAGTGCTAGTGGAAACTGCTTGCAATCTCGTGGGGAGTTGAGTGAACACCATGTGTTAGGTGCTGGAAGTGAAATTTACAACTACACTAAGACGTTTAGTTTTATGTTAATAAAAATGCTTGTATCGTGGCGTTAAGTTTAATTTTATTTACAGTTACTGTTAATTTATTTGTAATCATATTATGTTTATTCAAGGAAGTTTCTGGAAAATTCGGTACAGTTACTGTTAATTTACAGTTACAAACAGTTATTGTTAATTTATTTGTAATCTTATTTTTGTATATTCAAGGATTTCTTTACCACGTTTCCGATCGTAATAATTATTTTGTTTGTGAGTGAAAAAACAGACCCTTAAACTAAATAGGTAAATTTAAAATTTAATTGTAACAGCCCTTTGAAATTTCAAGAGCTTTTTAATTTTATAAAAAAAAAATCGTAAGAAAACAACGGATCAGAACAAATATTGTTAGGTATGTTTGCTAACTACCCAAAACTAACTAATCAAGCCAAATTACAGTTGGTAAAATCAAAGTTTAATGGGAGTATATAATCAGAATCAAATTGTTTAATACAGCGTAAACAGCGATGCGAATGAGATAGCGGCGGTCGCGTGCTCAAAGCCCGTTAAGCCCAGCCATGGCGAACACACACCTATCCACACTACAAACATAACGGTCAACTCACGTATAAAAGGAAGAAATTTCAATTTACTTGAAAACGCTCTCCACTCTACTTACACTATAATAGAAGCTGAACATGCTCTGTGCATTGAATATGCGCTGCTACAACTTGTAGCTTTGTTACCACTCAGCAAACTCACCGTTCCTTCGGAAACTATTCAATAGCCTAACAGGAAATTTCCAATTTCATCAAATATAACATTTTGTGAACGAATCTAACCTTTTTTTGAAAATTCTTATCCAAATATTAGCTATTTTATTTAAATAAGATTACTGCACAGTCAATTGATTTTCATGACCGTAGCTGCACGGCCTGAGGCGACTGATGCAAGGTGACGCGAGGCACCCTAAAGCTCCCCTCGGCAACAACTTTAGACCACCTCAGCCACTCTACCATCGAGCCGTGAGGACCAACATTGACTTCGATTTGAGCAAGGTAATTTAAACTCTATCCTTAATCAAATTAAGCACACAGTCCTGTGGACATTTACTTCATAATTCATATTGTATGCTAAGCCGGGCACCTAAGCGGTGTACTTAGTTGCTGCAATGTGTATGCTCCTGTAAAATGGTTAGCTATACTATTAATATAACACTAATGAATTGTGTTCGCTTAGTGTACGCTTGACTTAACATCGTTTGTGTGTGTTTTAATTAATTTAACCATTTTCAGTATCCCGGCAAGACTTGCCCCAGTATGCACCGAGACATGCATTACAAAGGTAATTATTTTGGCTTTTTATACTTTATTTGTATTTTTATTAACAATAATTTTAATACGACTAAAGACTAAACTAAACAAAGAATAAATGATGGATTAATAGCTCAATATTACATGGGCAAATGATGTTATTTAACTAAATACAGCTTCAGTAATACGGTTCGTGGTCAGTACAAATTATGATAAACCAATCCAGCAACCGGTGTGCTATAACAGTGGTACACTGTAAAGCGATAACGATAATTTCACTGTTATCACGATTGCAAATTATGTAATCCTAGCAATTCAACATTAATTACATTAATTACATCAATTACAATTCCTGTTTAAATATGGCAGAAAAGCTTTTGTAATACAGACAGCGATTAAAACCCGCTTGAAAACATTGTATTTAGGACTTGTTTTTGCGCGCGGCGGCACCCCCCACGTGTATTTCGGTTTTTGCAGTAAAAAGTAACCCATGTAACTCGCTAATATTGTAGAATTGTTTAAATTGATTTAGTGGTTTAAGCGTGAAAGTTAAACAAACAAACAAAGTTAATTTTACATTTATAATATAAGTAATGATTATTTCAAGCCCAGTCTGATATTGGAAAAGGGTTACACGAACGTAACGTGTTTACGACAAAACATGCCAAAATAAAAAAGAGCAAAGTAATGCCAAGTGAGTCTGTTAAAGTTATGTTTTGTAAACATATTACAAAAAATTACTATCTTGCATTAAACCGTTTATTATTGTTTTAAAAAAAGTCGTTAACGATCTTTAACTTAGTCGGTCTAATATAATGACAGATTAGCAACTGACGTCATTGGAATTTAAATATCAAAGTTTGTCGTTAAGGCATAATAATATACAAAGCTAATATCCCAGTAACTAGACCGTGTGAATATTTTTGTTGTTTCTTTACGGACCTTTGATGGTGTTTATGATAAATTGTTTTGTTTTAAACTTATAGAGCACATATATTTTTATAAATTATCTAAATATATGACAGAAACCAACATGATTGGTTTAATTATGTACAGCTTTTTTGAAACTCAAAACTATAATATTTAGATCACTTGTTTAAGAATATCCCACCCGCTCCGCTCACCTGCAGTACGGCCCAAGCTTTCGCATGATACGAGTATTATCAGTGTTTTCATTTCTGTTGCAGCCAAAAGTTGGACACAGTATTGAAGCTATTCCGTTACAGTACCTAAGCACTTACGTAGCAGCTACATAGAAAATATACGTTAATTAGGTTATAAGTAATGTATATAACTCCTGTACAGTTTTGTTTAAATCTTGCTTATGATGATAATAAAAGGAGCTATAAAATACCTTTAAGTGTAAAAATTTCAACACATTAACTTAGTGCTGATGCTAGGATCTAGTGTACGTGAGTAAGTGGGTCTGTTTAGGTGATTATTACTTATTACTTTATTACGGCCTCTGATTAGGTAGAATATTTTAGATATTTTCTGATAGTTATTTGAATTCTACCAACTGTTTTGATGTAGTAAACTATATATTTAACTAAAGAAACAATATTGATAACTTGAGATAAGATGGGATTTAATAAACTTCTTTATCAATTATTTCACATATCATCTTTAAAAATTGGTATTAAGACGTTTGTTTTTTTCGCTGTATAAACTAAAACGTGGAATAAATCATGTGTTGTGTCGGACAATTATTATTTTTATGTACTTAAATAATTTGAACCAGTGTTTTCTAGTCTGATACCTACCTAGTAATAAATTCAATTAACGAATGAATTTAGATACATAATCATATCAAAATATATGTACTATTTGTAAGGCCCTATTTGACAGTACTAGGTACTTTCAATTGTATCTATCTATTGCTGTAAGAGTCTATAGCTTTAATATTCTATACTTAATTATTGATAGTTCATTGCGTATTGTAAAATGAAACTATTCCATGATTATAAAGTGTATATCGCCTGGCTTTCTTGTAAGATCTATTAGAAATATTATTTGATTAAATTATATTCAACTACAGTATTCTGATTTATTATTTAAAAATATATAATCACCTTCTTTTAATTTAATTTACATTCAGCTTTATCGAGCTTATTCGAGAGACAATTGTGTGGAGCGAATAATAAGTATATCGAAATAGACTCGACTTGAAATAAAATCGTAAATAGAAACAATGGAAATATAAATGGAAACACAAAACGTTTTCCTGTAATGCTTGAATTTGCTTGAGTGACGAGCCTGTTGGTCTGGTTAGTGATCCCGACCGCTAAGCCGAAGGTCGTGGGTTCGATTCCCACAATGAACCAATATTAGGTAATGAGCGCAACCGTTTGTTCTGTATCTGAGTGTAATTCATCTATATTATGTTTGTATTTACAAATATATAAATACATATATGTATGTTTATCAGTAGTCTGGTTACCACATCGCAGACTCTCCCTGTAAGATGGCCGTGTGTGAGATGATTGAGGTTATTATTTATATCTAGAATAATACAAAATTCGTTTAGTACGAAGTCACAACACTCCCTATCACCGTAAAGTTTAAAAATATAAATGCGAGGTATTCTATCTACTGCAATGGAACAGAACCGTTTGTTTTAGTGTTTCCTCCACTCTTATGTTTGAATAAAAAGCTCATTTGAATTCTATGAGAATCGAAATTGCTCTCCTTTTCGCCGTAGTAACTTAATTTAATCGAGTTCCATCACAATATATTTTACCTTTAGATTAGATACTCGCTATTATACTGATAAAAGTGGCAAATAAAATGTGTCAACTCTTGTTCTAAATACTAACACAATTTATTTCTACAGTAACTTTACAAATTTAGAGTAAAAGTTTTTTTTTTAATTAAAAAGACAATTTCCGCACAACGATTATATCCCGTGTCGCGAGATACTTTTTACACATTCATCTAACGTACACATAGAAAACCTAGACTCAGAACAATAATTTGTGAATCGAACCTACAAAATACAGCGCAGTACGAAGCAGCGAGGTGCGTGCTTACCACTACGCCATCCATGCAGTCAAAGCTACTACGACTACATTAGGATAAGTTATATTAAGGCAAACGCGTAACTGAACGTAACGCGTCTATGATTCAAACCAACTGTACCTTTACTTAAGTAATTCTACGATTTAGTCCATACGAAATTAGTCGATTAATAAGTATTACATTTCTCAAAGCAAGCAATAATAACTGGATTAAATGTCAACTGACGCATATCTTTTAAACCGAACGTCGCTTTTTAACAGACTTCAAAAACACAAAAGAGGAGGTTCTCAATTCGACTGTATTTATTTTGTAAGTTTCTATGTCAATTGTGGATTGATCTTCATAATTATTTTTGTAATCGCAAGTGTATAGCCTTGAATTGGTTCCATTATCACCAAATCAGGATCTGTTGATGGGTGCCAGAGAAACAGAATAAGAATAAGAAAAACTTTATTTGTCTTTTAACATCGAGTACTTAAAATTAATAACAATGCTTGAATAAAAATAACACTTGAAAGACAAAATGGTCTGGGATCAGCGTGTGGATGACAGTGCAAAACACGTCATCCGATGTTATTCTGCCCAAGCCAATCATGATTAACAGTCTTATTAGTCTCTCGACCCGACCACGTTGGTGTACCCTCATAGAGGGAAACCCTCAAATTTTAGCTTGTTTCTTTATCTATACGAGTATTTGCGTTTGATAGTCATTATCTCATGTTGCTGAGCTCATGATGGAAGGGTCCTTGACCTTTAGGATATAGAGGATAACTCTTTCAATAATATAATCATGTATTGTTTTGAGATATGTGTACAAGGAAGTAATAAATAAGTTTAAAAACATTTATACAATAAATAAAAATATTTTTGGTTTGGTTGTTATGTAATTATTTTTATGTTTGTTACCTCAAAATTCATTCCTTTGTAAACTGATTTGGAAAACTCTTTTTTTTTTTTGGAAGGCCATATTTCCCCGTTGGTTCTTAAAAATAAAGTAATGTGGAAAACAAGATATTTTTGGGTTCCAATTTAATGTAATCTAACATTTGGTAATTTTTAAAAAAGGCCTATTTCTTATCGTTCAATGGATTCACCGTGCGGGTGCCGGGTCCATCGCGTGGAGATGGGGGCAATACATGCGACTACGACAGCGCCTGGGAATTGCGACCCAGGAGTAGGTTTAGGGAGTACTCCTCCTCCTCAGCGTCAGCGCTCACCGCCACTGTCTGCTGTCTTTCCGCCGTCTACCTTTTCACATTTTTATTTTTATATTAGCTTTTTCAATTAGATTTATAATGTTTGAAATCGATTGAAGTTTAAAGAGAAGGATTTAAAATCAAGATATGTACGAAAAGCAATTGAAAATAAAATAACTTTGATTATGTCACCTCACTTTATAGCGTATGAACAGTAGAATAGGTACACATCTTTTTTGATTTCAGAAGAGGGACACATAGCACAGTATTAGACATCATTCACTAAGTTACCCTTTTGAATGTAAAATTCAAAAAATTAAGATATTTATTGGTTTAACTTTTATAGATGTGTGTGTAGGTGTATTGAACATAGGTAATAGACAGATGGACTCCTTGAATGACTTTGACTGCATGGGTGGCGTAGTGGTTTAAGCGGTCGCCACGCCACTTACTACTACGCTGAGTGTTTTGGGTCTGATCCCCACATGGGACGACACTTTGTGTGATCCACAAGTTGTTGTTGAGTCTGGGTGTCCTTTGTCCATTTCATGTATGTTTGTAAAGTCCCCCGCGACACAGGATTTATTCCTAATGCGGGAGTTGTCTTTTATAGAAATAGAAAAATATAGAAATGTATGTTGCAAAGTCCCTCGCGACACAGGATTTATTCCAAGTGTGCGAGTTGTCTTTAAAAAAAAACTCATTTCTTGTTTTCAGAATGCTTATTTTTGGCCTTATATTTCCTTGTTTCTTAAGTTAATAAAACATATTTACATCAATAAAATATAAACTATTTTTAAAACAACGTGAAGATTAAGATGGTAATATAAATTACTCGATTTTCCGCACAGGAGCCCGCGTTATTGGAAAAGTTGCCGCCGGTCCATGTTGATAGACTTACGGAAAATGAGTTCATTAAAATTAATAATTATCGAGTGTGGAGGAAATTTAATATGCTTCAACGGAAAAGTGAGCCTACGAGTTATTTTACAATTATCAAGAGACAAAACAATAATTTTATAAGAAAGTTAAAATAAGCAAGTGAAATTACTTACAATTACTTATGTAAGGTGCTACACGTATAATGGATAAGTTAAGATATTCAATATAGATATACCTAATGCCACTGTGGTGACAAACTTTTTTACGGAGTGGTTTGTGGAACCATCGTTAACAAAACTGCAAACTAGTAACGGAAACTCACTGAATGACTTAAGTAGCCATCTACAACTCCGTACATTTAGTGCAAGGTTAAGGAAGAGGGAAATAGAGCGCAGCCTTTGCTGGGTATACTCGTAATGCGGTGTTTGATCGGCCTACTGATGTACACCGTATACAAAAAAAAACAACACACGGACAGCATTCCAAACCAAAAGTAGTCGGGCATCCCCCAAATACACACGCGAGTAAAACTACACATCTGCAAACAGCTACTCTTGGCGATGGGCCTGTTGGCCAAGTCAGTGATCCTAACTTCTAAGTCAAAGGTGGGTTCAAAAATTGATATATGTATAAGTATGTTTATCAGCAGTTTAGTGATCATAGCACAGGTCCTGCCTAGTTTGAGATCAGACGGCAGTGTGTGAGATGTCTGATGTTATTATCATTATTTACTGAAGTAAAAATATAAACGACCTGTCAACGATAGGTTAAGTACAACAAGTTTGAGTTTATTATCATTCGGTCCAAATAGGAATTTAAGCGGACTGTAATTGCTGTAGCAGATATGGCGAAATATTTGCATAGGTAAGATTTACAGATTGTTCATTCAGTAAGGATCACGATTTTACCGATATGAGAGGAGCAAAATCGTGATTAAATTAAAGGATAAATGTAATATAATAACCATCTCTATAAAGACCAATCATCCTTCTACAGTGTGATTTAAAAAAATGTCATACGCAAAAGTGTCAATAGATAACTATTTATTTTATGTCTATGTAAGTATTTTGTTCACACAGAATTACAGGTTGTTATAAAAAAATAGGGAGTCTCA